TTTTTGCTTTAAGATGGCTACTTTTACATCTGCTATTGTGTGGCCAGGGAGGTTGAAGTGTTCTCCTACAGGTTTTTGTATATTGCCATTCCTGATATCTGAAGCATTGTATTCAAATAGGGTTTATTTCAAGCTGTGGGGTATCATCATTGGCAGTAAAAGTAATATTTTTTCTGCAAAACACTTTTTCATAAGTATTGGGCTTGACATGTAGGTAGCAGAAGGCCAGTCTATTACTGAACGCAGGGATTTCTTTACATTGAGACTTGACCATACAAAACAAGTGCCGTTAAAATACACGATTCTACCAATATGCATGGGGTAAAAGAAATTATATAATACCACTTATCACCCAAGATGTGCTTTAGAATACAAATAATGTCAGTTCATTCTATATACGGTAATAAGTTCTCATTAATTTTAGAAAACTGTAAATGACACACTGATACTGAAGGAGTTAGAAAGGAAATTGGTTTTCCTGTGGTATTTCACAAGACAACAACCAATTACAAACATTGGTGGAGGAAGTGGAAAGCTTAATTCCGATTAGCATAGTTGAAATAGTCTCACTGAACACCTCCTGCAATCTTTTCATGTTCATCTATATTTTAATAGGGCAAGTCATTGCAAGTGGAAAAATTGTATATACTGCCTATGTTGGTGTACATGCTCAGTTAAACAGAGGCTACATCTACACTGAGCTAGGAGTGTGTTTCCCTGTTTGCATGGAGAAAGTAAATAAGAAAGTGTTATTTACTCATCATACTACAAGAACTAGGGGGCCACCAAATGAAATTAATAGGCAGCAGGTTTAAAAGGAAGTATTTCTTCATACAACACAGAGTCAACCTGTGGAACTCTTTGCCAGAGAATGTTGTGAAGGCCAAGACTATAACAGGGTGTGACGGGTTGAACTCCCTCTGGGATGCAACCTGTTGTACTGGGGTTTCACTGAGCCCCGCCTGCTCCACCAGCCTGGATTCCCTCTCCCTGTTTTGCTGAATTAGGCTCTCCGGCCTCTTGTAGCGCACACACACTGTATTGCGGACTTATAAATTGGGGACTTGTAATGTAGGTAGTTCACTCTCTACGTCTACACTACAAATTACGGATACAATTTCCAGCTCATATTTGTGCTAGCTCACATCTGCGCTAGCACACTAAAAATAGCATAGCTGGGGGTAGCATGGGCAGTGGCAGCATGGGTTAGCTGTGCTGAATACATACCCAGAGGATTCAGGTGGGTTTGTACTCTGCACAGGTAGCCCCGTGCTACTGCTACCCATTCCACTATTGCTATGCTACTATTTTTAGTGCACTAGCTCAGATGAGAGGTAGAACAGGTATGTCTAAGAACAAAAGAACAGTCATACTGGGTCAGATCATTGGTCCATCTAGCCCAGTATCTACTCTTCTGACAGTGACCAATGCCAGGTGCTTCAGAGGGAATGAACAAAACAGGTAACCATCAAGTGATCGATCCCATGTCCCCCATTCCCAGCTTCTGGCAAACAAAGGCTGGGGACACTTCAGAGCATGGTTTTGCATCCCTGCCTATCCTGGCTAATAGGTCCATCAATGGCTATCTTCCATGAAGTTATCTAGTTCTTTTTTTAACCCTGTGTGACGTTATACCCTATATTCTTTATAGAAATTGGTTATGATATGAATATGGCATAACTAAGACATGCGTTATACAAGTTGGCTCATGTAAGATATCATTGGAAAGGTTATAATTTACTGAATGTGAATATCCAATTTGTATGGATGTATTATTTTTGTATCTAAAGTTAGGGATATGGACTATGTAACAATTACAACTGTATGTGTATTTGGGAGACACCCAGCAGACACTTGGCCATCACAGCCTTGATGGGCCATTAGGAAGAAACAATGAGACTGGGAAGATACTAATCTTTCTCCTTCCTGAGAGGTGTCCTGGGATGTAGCTGTGACACTACAAAGTCAAGTGATAATGTCACCTGATGCAAAATACCACCTTGGACACTGCTGGTACTTTTCCTCTCTAGGGAGATGGGGATCAAACAAAGGTTTCCTGCCTTAGATAAATCCTTTTTAAGGCTGGGAAGGGGGTTGATCTGGACTCTGCTTTGTTCTGTGTGCTATCACTTAAAATCTGCCTTTTATGGTTAATAAATTTGCTCTGTTTATTATTAAACTCAGTTTGTGCAATTTCTAACTTGGGGGGAGAAGAAGTTGTGCATCTCTCTTCACATTGAGGGAGGGTGAATTTTGGTGAGCTTGCACTGTGCAGATCTTTCTATACAATGCAAGACAGTATTATTTTGGGTTTATTCCCCAAAAGGGGTGTGCATGTGAGTGCTGGGAGAATTCTCTCACACACAGCTGAATTCAGTCTGTGTCTGCAGCTGGGTGTGGCCCTACCTGTGTGTGTGTGTGCGTCCTACAAGAGGCTGGAGTCAACCAATTTGTTGGAAGGGTTTTTGTTCTTTACGAGATGCATAATATGATGGTGAACGTGAAAAAAATTCTTCTTCTGTAGTAATGAGTTGCAAATTCGTTTAGGTTACTAATGTCCTAATAGGTTTAATTATATTTCTAGCCCGGATGTCAGAGCATTTCTTCAGATGGACAATCCAAAGCATCAGTCAGATCCATCTGAAGATGAGGATGAAAGGAGCAATCAAAAGGTAAGAGTCAGCTAGAATGGAGTAGAACAGTAATCATGCACTTTTGAACAAACTGTAACCACATGAGGGCAATTTCATATGTATTGTAACTTTCAACAAAATAAGTTGTTCCCCAACAGATTCCTCCCTGTTCCTTTCCAATAAGGTTACTCAGTTTTTCCCTAAAATATAAACTGCAAAGACAAGTGTTAACAATCTCAGTTTTCCCCATTTGTTAGGGGCTGGAAGGGCTGTGGCTCAGGTTACAGTTCATGTGACATCACTGTTTAGGTCCTCCAAAGACCTTGCCAGAGACATCCAGAAAAGAGAAGGCTAGGAGGATCAGATATTTAAATGCTTAATAACTAAAAAAGGAGACTCTAACTTGAAAAATATTTGAAGCCATTTTTATAGTAGCGCAAAGAAAAAATAACTTTGGTTCACAGTTCACCTTTTACACTGCGAGGTTTCAAACCTCAATCTCTTACTAAAGCCACTATATTGGGTTTAGAATTGTACTAAGTCTCTCAGTCTATTTAGGAGCCTCTGTCTTAAGAACTTCTAGTTATAATGTCCTACTGTAAAAATTGGTAGAAAAAAATTGTCTTGCTGGGTAGAATAACAGAATAATTATTTTAATCCGTTCTGTGTGTCTCATGTCCCAATAGTCAAGGGTTCTTCGCATGCAAAAGTCATTTAACACTCTTGCGGTCTGCTCCAACGCCCACAAAAGTCATTTTTTTCCAATACACTTCTCTGGGCACTGAATCTTCTATTGTGCATTAATTAATAAGCTTTCCTGGGTCCTAATTGACAAGATCAGTTTCCTGATGTAGTTTTCAGTGCTGAACATTTGAAGTTACTGAGTCTTCTAAATCTACAAATCTTGTATAATAATTTCTTTCTACACTGTTCCTTGCTTTTAGACTCTTTACCTTTCACCTCTTTGGAGGTAGAAGAATTAATTAAATTTACAATCGCACTTCGTTACATTTTTAATAGAAATTAGGGCTTCCATTTTTTAATTTCTTAGACTTTAATGGAAACCTTAAGATCAATAAAAGTTGTGGTGACAAATGTAACTTAAAATCTCAATAATGGATGTATGTTTTCAACTTAATTTTCCATCCATCATAAAATACAATAATAGGCACTAATCATAAATGGAATATCTTATATCTTCTCCTTAAATGTTCATCATATTCCTAGTTAACATTCTTCTGCTCTGTCATGGTTCAGATGTCCTATAAATTTTAAAAAATAAAATAAAATTGGGAAAATTGATCAGAATATAGGCAATTTATTCCAGCATTTTACCACCTAACAAGAAGCTTTTTCCTAACGTCCAATCTAAACTGCCCTGGCTTCAGTTTAAGCTCATTGCTTCTTGAGGTATCCACAGAGGTTAAAGAGGGAAGAGATTGGAAATTGGAAGAGCTTTTCCCTCTCCCTGTAATTTATATGCTGTGGGGGAGGGGGGTGTATGAGCATTGGCAACATCCCTGCAGTTACTGGAATTGGAATAATTAACCTTGTGTGTCGGATTATCAAAGGTTAACAGCCTTTACACACAATGTCTTTAACTGGTCCTGCATAAGCAGTGTTTATTTTGATAATATATTGGCAAGAGTGTAGTGGATTTAAAAATTTAAATAAATATCCAAAGAATATTCCTGGAATAAAACAATTTCAAAATGGGTTAAATTTTGGACATTAAGTTACTTGTTAAAAAGGCTGAGACTTAAAAATTCTGTTCATAACCTTGCCATCTGTATTGGAACATAAGATTGTATTACCTTTATACTTTGACACTGTCTGTATAACCCTTCCCGACAACTCTTCTGATATTTTAACTTTATAAATATATTTAAAAATACTATATAGAAAATAATGAGAAATATAAATGTAGAGATGGTTTGAGGTAATTGAATATTTTGCAATGAATATTAGCTGAAGGATAAGAGATGGGATTTCCTTTTAATGGGTAAACAAATCTAAACTGATCTGAAGCTTGCTTTTTTTTTTTTCCTTCCTACAGCTAAACTCTACCTCACAGAATATCAACCTGGGACCATCTGGAAATCCTCAGTAGGTTTTAGTTAAATATAAACCAAAAGTTAGACACACTTTAATTGCTAACTATATGAAATGTCCTCCAGATACGTGCCTTTATTTGCTACTTTGTGCAACTTGAGAGAAGCAAAGGTTCTAACTCGGCATTAAGTAAATATTATCATGCACATTAGTTGTATGCTGTGTGATTTTAGCATAATCAGCAGATTCTTTACCAGTAGTGTACCCCAAACAAATCTGAGATGTCGTGATGTCTATAGAAATAGTTTACCCCATTTAAACAATAGAAGGAATATATAAATGTTCTTAGGGTGGGAGAGTGTATCTTTGAAATATGCAAACGACCTGCCTTCCCTTTCCACCTCAGAGCGCTACTAGCAGGGTGTCTGCAATCCTGCAGACAGAGACCCCCTTACAGATTTTTCTTTCTATTCTTCTCCCGCCCCCCTTCTCTTATCTAACAGGTTTTGTAACCTACTAAGTTTCAAACACGAGTGGGACAGATGATGATGTTATGCAGGCAAGATAACTGCTCCTCTTTGGAACGCCATAGCAGCAGTTTTAAAATATACCCCAACAAACAAACAGTTCAAACCCCAAAGCTTGTACAGAATTGCAGTTTGTTCTATCCCCCTATTATATGACTGAGGGAAGAGTTGTGGGGACAGAATTTGCCCATAGCAACCCTCACACAGCCCTGAGGAGCCCCATTGTCTCCCTTTCCATTTTTTTAGGCCCTGGTTTGCAATTGTTACTTTTCCCGTTCTTCCTTCACTAGAAGAATTTGGTTTGGAGTCTATCCATGGCTTGTCTTAATTGCCCAAAAGACTCCTGAGGGGGAAAAAATGCCCACTCAGCAGTTTCCAGCCTCTCTTAGCCTAGAGAGCAAAAGGGTTGTTTCTTCATTGTTCAAGAAGAACAGATTTTGGTCTGAAGATGTATGTAGAACCACTATATAGATCAAATCAAGTCAACTTGTGTTAATGTAAACTTGTGTTTAATGTCAAACTTCTACAGTATAGTATAAGGAACTATATTATGTTGATATGAAAAACTGGCTCATGCAATCAGTATGTCTTTCCTCTCCTTCTATGTGGCTCCTGCTCTCATCGCTGTGTCTCCCAACTCCCTCATCCTTTTTGCCTTTCCTCTAATTTCCTGCTTAGGGCATCTGCTCCCCATGTTTGCTACTTTCCTCATTGATTGTACTGCACCACTGGGAGAGAGTGTGGGGCTTTATATATTGTGCCCCAAATCCTCTTTGGTAGTGCAATCAATAAAAGGGCAACAAATAGAGAGTGGATTGTGGTCCTTGTAAGGTAATTGTCAAATTGGAGGGCAAGAGCCATGTGAAGAAGGAAGGTTGGAAGGCCAAGAGATAGCGGCACTTGAATGCCGAGTGCATCTGAATACATGTGCCTCCCAGGGAGAAGGAAGGGAGAGATAGGGAGTCATAGGAAGAAAGTAGGGTGGGCAGTGAGGGGAAGAATTGCAGAAGCCAGAGAATAGGACGACTAATCTGAGGGATAGAAAACAGCAAGGAAAGATAGATGGACAGTGAGGCAGACTATATAACAAGACAAAGGAAGAAATGCCAAAAAATGGGATGCAAAGAACAGAATGCTGGAGCGGTGGGAGAAAGGGGAGACGAAGACTTGAAAATGGGGGAAGGACAAGGAACAAACTATTTTAAGAGTCATAGGCCTTTTTCAAGCAGGGGGTGCCCCAAGAGGAAAGAGGGAGGTATGAGGGGAAAACCTAGACTTAAAAAAAGAAAAGGGGACTAGAATGAACATGAGATGTGGGGGGTGAGGGGGGAAGAACAGAACAAAGAGCAGAGAAGTGTGGCGCTGAGTCTGTTTTGTCAATTTTATTTTTATTTAAATTCTAACACTTATATTGTATTTCCCTGGCAGAAAATAGGAAGTGAAAACAGGGAAGGGTTTGATTGCGGGCCGTGAAAGAGGAGCTGGTATGGAGAACCTCCAAGCTACTAGCAGGCCTTAAGTGAGACATGGTGTGCAGGGAAATAGTGGCTCAGATTAGCACTTTGTTTGCAATTCAAGCACTTGTTTAAATATAATTCTGAGCATTGTGTAAAATTGTGAAGCTGATATTTTCTACCCCAAGTAACCTTCCTCCTTTCTGAATCACTTCCAGCGCTAAGCCAACAGACTTTGACTTCTTGAAAGTCATTGGGAAAGGCAGCTTTGGCAAGGTGAGCTTTCTTAACATTTCTCATCCTGACAGAACTGCACACTGGCACTAGATTTGGTGAACACTGGGAAGTGGTACTCACAAATTCAGGGCTGGATTAAGGCAACCTGAGGCCTATGGCACACAAGGCCCCTTGTGGCTCCACCCTTACAGCCCCACTTTCATACCATGGCACCATTCATTCCACCTGGAGTAGCAGTGACATGGGACCCCCTCAACTCCTGATCAAGAGCAGCAGTAAGGTTTTCCCTATCATTGGAGCAGTTAGGGTCCCTCCTTCCCCACAGAGAAGCAAGGGTGGCAGCAGGGAGGCACCTCAATGCTTGCACTCCTGCTGCTGCATTATCTGCTGGGTGGGCGTGCTGGGCTTACTCAACTACAGCCACACACCCAGTTCTCTGTTTGGGGTGGTGTTGGCTGGGCTCCCCAGAGCAGTGGGTCTTTGTGGCAACACCCTATTAAGATAGATGGAGCAGTTCATCCATCTCGGCGCTAGTGTTTGAGGCTCCTTAGTCATATTTCTGAGCATTTCACCACGACCATGGAGACTAGAAATGTATATTTTAAAAAGAGCCACGATTCCGCCCTCCTCCACTCCAGGAGCTGGGGCTCTATGCATGAACCTGTAGTGCCTATGCCATAATTTGGCCTTACATGAGCTCTCCATTGTGACATTACAGTTCAGCAGAAACTGTGCAAGATCTTAGATTCCATATTCTGGTAACATTCTCTTTTTGCTGGTGACACTGGTAATAATTGTAAACTATTTTAAGGGCCAAGAAATTGTACAGTGAAGTAATTGTATTAATCATGTTTCTTCAGATACTCTTTAATATCAGAATGAGAACTACGCTAACCATGTCTCCTCTCTCATCATAAATTTCACAGGTTCTTCTTGCAAAACGAAAACTGGATGGGAAATTTTATGCTGTCAAAGTACTGCAGAAAAAAGTTGTTCTCAACAGGAAAGAGGTGCGGGGGAAATACATTTTTCTTTTCCCCTTCAATTACAAAATTGTTCCTATTTACTTATTGACCTTTCACTTCCTTGCAGCAAAAACATATTATGGCTGAACGTAATGTACTGTTGAAAAATATGAAACATCCATTTTTGGTTGGATTACATTACTCATTCCAAACAACAGAAAAGCTTTACTTTGTTCTGGATTTTGTTAATGGAGGGGAGGTAAGTAGTTTTCATATTTGTTCAGGTTTTTGTCTCCTCAGGCTAATTTACAGAAAAAAAAATCATCCACTGTAAAATGTGCTCATTTTACTATTTCTGTAAGTAAATTAAAATCCTATTGATTTTACCTACTAATTACAGTTTTTAAGATGTTGCTGTAGACTTGTATTCAAAAACTTATTTGCAACTATTGAAGAGTTTCTTCTTTCTCATACAACTCATTTTTATTAAACTCTCAATATAAACCTTAATACACAATTTTAATGCAGAAATTCTCACCAGCCTTATATACACTATTTTACTGGATATTGCTGTAAATAAAACATACCTTCAATATGAATTCACTGTATACTGATATTTCCTTCAGCACTTAAAGCAATTCCTCCCTTTTCTGTGACATAAACAAGAGCCTAGATGCCAAGTTCTAGAACGGGTCGGCAACTTTTCAGAAGTGGTGTGCCGAGTCTTCATTTATTCACTCTAATTTAAGGGTTCACGTGCCAGTAATACATTTTAACATTTTTAGAGGGTCTCTTTCTATAAGTCTGTAATATATAAGTAAACTGTTGTATGTAAAGTAAATAAGGTTTTTAAAATGTTTTAAGAAGCTTCATTTAAAATTAAATTTTAAAATGCAGAGCCCACCGGACTGGTGGCAAGGACCCTGGCAGTGAGAGTGGCACTGAAAATCAGCTCGTGTGCTGCCTTTGGCATGGGTGCCTACCCCTGTTCTAGAAGCAGCAGGAAGAGGGTGTGTTTTTTTGACAGACTTAAACAATTGAATTGACTTCTTCAGGGTTACTGTGCTTCTGGTTGTACACCATAGCCTCAAATGCCATAGTTACCTCTTGCTAAAATAGCCTTGTTATCTGCAGCATTGTTTACTCTGAGCACCAACATTGAAGCTGAGGAGACCATACGTAATTTGAGGAAGAACTTGTGAAAGAGATGGATGAAATCTGTAAATTTTAATCAGACATGCTGGAGTAAATTGATTATTTAACAAGCAGTAAGTCACTAGGCCCAGATAACATACACCCAAGAGTTCTGAAGGAGCTCAAGTATAAATAGGCTGAGCTGATAATAAAAGTACACAATATCTCCTTAACAGCCACTGCTCCAGAGGATTGGAGGGTAGCAAATATTACATCTATTTTAAAATGGCTCTAGGAGTAATATGAGGAATTATAGACCATTAAGCATCACATCTTTACCTGGAAATTTGGTTGAAATTACTATTTTAAAACAGAATTACAAAACGCCTGGAAAATCATGATAGCATAGCATCTGACCAGTGCAGTTCCTGCAAAGAAAAATCATGTCTCACTAATCTCTTAGAATACTTTGAACATACAATAAAGTACTAGATAAAAGAGAACCAGTTGACATAATTTAGATTTCCAAAAAGCCTTTGACAAAGTTCTGCATAAGAGGCTACTAAAGAAGATAAGTAGTCATGGGGTCAGAGGCAAAATATTATGGATTAAAAAACTGGCTTGGGGTGGGAGGAGAGAGGATTAGGAGAAGAGTCAAGTATAAATGGTTGGTTTTTCATCATGGCAAAAAGCTAGCAGTGAGGTGCCTCAAGGTTCTGTTCTAGGTCCTGTATAGGTCAACATATTAATAATTTGGAAAGTGGAGGGGAGTGAGGTTGCAAAACTTGCAAATGAGACAAAGTTATTTAGGTTCGTCATGACCAGAGACCCCCAGACAAACTCAGTGAATGGGCAGCATGATGGCAAACTGAATTTCATGTTGACTAATGCCCATTTGAGGGGAAAAAAATGTAAGCTACTCATGTGCCTTACATACAGTAGAACCTCAGACTTACGAACACCTCAGGAATGGAGGTTGTTCGTAATTCTGAAAGGTTCATAACTCTGAACAAAACATTGTTCTTTCAAAAGTTTATAATTGATCTGACTTAATACAGCTTTGAAACTTTACTATGCAGAAGAAAAATGCTGATGTTTAGCCATCTCAATTTAAATGAAAGAAGCACAGAAACAGTTTCCTTACTGTGTCAATTTTTTTTAAACTTTCCCTTTACTGTTTTAGTAGTTACTGAACTGTGTTAAACATTATTGGGTTTTTTTTGTGTCTCTCTCTCTCTCTGCTGCTGCCTGATTGTGTACTCCCCATTCTAAATGAGGTGTATGGTTGACTGGTCAGTTCGCAACTCTGGTGTTCGTAACTCTGAGGTTCTGTTGTAGTTCTCAATTGACTGTCAACTCAAGAAAGGGACCTGGGTATCGCTGTAAACACCTGGGTATCAATGAACACCTCTGCTCAATGTGCAACTGCAGTCAGTAAAGCAAACAAGATGTTACATTTAAAAAATAATGAGATGGCGAATAAAATGGAAATATACCAATACATTTGATATAGATCAGTGGTGTAGCCTCAACTGAAATACTATGTACAATACTTGTTACCCCATCTCTAAAAGGATACTGCAGAAATAAAGAGGGCCCAGAGGACGACAGTGAGAATGACCAAAGGCATGAAATCTCTCATTTGAAGAGCGACGGAAAGGACTGGGATTGTTTACAGTAGAAAGGAAATTAATCAGATATATATAAAAAAAAATAATGAATGGTATAGAGTGGGTAGATGAGGAACTTTTGTTCTGCCTGTCTCATAACACACAAACAAGGGGACGTTTAGTTAAATTAAAAGGTGGGAAATTGACAAAAGGAAATACTGTTTCACAGAACATGTAAACTCTGGAACTTAGTGCTGTAGGAAGTCATTGAAGCCAAAAACTAAAATAAAAAAGGACTGGACCTTTTATACGTATAGCAGTATCCACAGTTGTTATAATTAATGAGAACAAAAAATGAATGGGATGTACATTAAACTTTATGCTTTTGGGCTAAGCCAGTCCTGTTAGAGATCAGGATGAGACCTAATGTTGGGGGAAGATTATCCTGCATCTGCCTATTCCTGGGTTCTTACACCTTCCTCTGAAGCACCTGGTGCTGGCCATGGTTGGAGGTGGGATATTGGACTAGATAGATCTCTGGTCCAGGATGGTAATTCCCATGTCCCGTGTTCTTCTATTTTTGTTTAGTGTTTGTCTCCTTTCCATACAGTGTGCCCAGTGGAGCTTTTTTGTGTGTGGGGGCGGGGTGAGTCTTTGTCTGGCTAGCTGGAAGAAAAGGGGTGCTGCCTTTTCTTATAAGAAATAGAAGAGGCTAGAGATCTTTAAGGGCTCTGTTATAATGGGTGGGAAGAGTGGGGGAAAGCTGACAGGGATGGACAGGAAAGGCAGGAAGCAGTTGGAGTCAGGTCAGGAGAAGGTCACTACACTGCCCTTCCTGCTTGACTGGAGCAGTGGGGGAGGGTTTTATACCCCGTGCATCTCTAGAGGCTCTCTTTTACCAGGACTGGGCTAGCAGCACCCACCCACCCATCCATGAACTGGGCAAAAGAACTGGGTTCCCCTTGACTTGCAGTGGACATTATACTAGGTGTCTTTTCCCTTGGGGGGTTTGGGGGGAATTTTTCCCTCACCACCAGATTGGCCAAGGTAGGGTGAATTTTTTTTCACATTTCCCCACAGTGGTCTTGGGACTAGGTGGATTGGGGAGGGTTAGGTTATAATGTCATAACTTAATATGTAAAACTTGTGGCAGGTGTCCAATGCAGCTACTCAGTGGGGAAGGGGTGTAGTTATCAGATCAAATGGATTGGAAGAGGATTTAAAGGAAATAATCCCTTAATGGAACTGAGTAAGGGGGGCTTTGGACTCCCACATCTTGTACAGTGACCCCTCTCCTTTTATAGCCTCCTTTGCCCTCATGTGAGGGGAGGGCGGAAGGGTCCCAGCAGCAGGATAGGTGGGACCTAGTTGGGAATTATTGGGAAATGATTAAGGAAAGAATGGTGACCTGCACTGTACAATTTTTTGCTGGGTACTCCCAGATATTTTAACTGAATAAAGTTGTGGCCTAATTAAACCACATCCCTTGCCTCCTATTCCCCCTCCCCACCCTGGCCCCCCCAGTGTGGCCAGACAATGCTGTTTTTCTGAACTCTGTACAACTTACACACATTAAGAAGTATGCAAATCTAACACCAACAGTGATAGAAATAAATACAATACAAAAGTTTTCCTTCTTGCAGTCAAGTTGGAATGCTTGGAATCTTGCTTGCTTATTTATTTCCAGTAGTGGTGTGACTGGGGTCCTAGTGGGGAGCTAGTTGTGGTCACTCAATTAGGGTGAACTGCAAAGAATGGGGCAGACAATCCCCCAAAAGCTGGTCAATATTCCAATACTTAGATTTGCCAAGACAGCATAAAACAGCTTCAAGTCCAAACAACACAGTTCCCTTAAAGTGATCCAGCCTCAGGCCTCCATCCAGGTACCCACATCAAATATGATGAAAATTTCTGTAATCTTATTTCATCATATAAAAGAAAAGGTTCTGCTAATCCCAGAGGATTGGACACATTCCCTCCCAGGTTAATGACTGTTTCAGATCTTACCCAAATACACACTAGAACCAATTGTTATTAACTAAACTAAAATTTATTAAAAAAACGAGAGAGTATGGATAAAAGATCAATATACATACAGACATGACTTCAATTCATTGAGGTTCAGATTCATAGCAGAGATGGTGAGTTTTGTAGTTGCAAAGAGTTCTTTCAGAAATAGTTCATAGTTCATAGTTCAATGTCTAAATCTCATAGGGCGAACCAGCATAACTGGGACCTCAGTCTTGTGACTCAAACTTCCCCTGATGAAGCCTAAACAGATCTGAGATGACAGAATCAAGACCCAAGGATCTTTTATACTATTTCATGTCATCTTTGACAAGTTGGGAGTTCCTCAGGGAACAAAAGGTAATTGGGATGACTTTGAAGGAGGTCCATAACCAGTACTTAGCTGTATGAATTAACATAAGGCCGTTTGCTTGTTCCTCCACCATTCTCCATACATTTCAAAGAGAGATGAATACAGAGATATCCCGTGTTTACAATTCATTTAAATGATTTGATGTTTTTTTGACATCTGAATTATCAGAATAAAGCATAGACAGGGACTGTTGATTACATTGTGGACCCTACTCATGCATATGGAAATACACAAACATTATCTCCCCACTTATCTTTTGAGGGTTATTTATTTTGCAGGATGTTTAACCCTTTCTAGCTATGCGTCACAAGATGACTTTAGAAAGAAAATATTCTTTGAGTGCTTGCTCATGTCCATTCCATATTAGGTGTGGGTGCTCGCCACATGCACTGGTGCCGGAAGTTTTTTCACTCAGCAGTTTCCATAGAGGACCGGCTCTGGTGCCCGCATAGCGTGGTATAAGGGGTGCTGACGGCTCCCCCCACCCTCACTTCCTTCTTGCCGCCAGTGACGGTGCTGGAATGTCTGCTGCTTCAGCTAGAATTGATTCTTTCTCTGTTCTTGCAAACTCTAAAATCCTATAAAATAGTTATACATAGTTAGTAGGAAGCCCTCAACTAGACTGACTTACCTGGCCAAGTGGATGAGGTTTTCCCGCTGGGCATCCGAACATGGCATCTCTCCCTCATGTTCTTCCATACAGACTGTCCTGGACTACCTGCTCCATTAAGGAACCAGGGCCTGGCACACTCTTCCATTAGAGTTCATCTAGTGGTCATCTCCACTTTTCACCTGTGGATCCAAGGACAAATGGTGTTTTCCCATGACATGATGGTCAGATTCTTCAGAGGGCTCAAGAGACTCTTCCTGCAGGTACGGACTCCTGTCCCACAGTGGGATCTTAACTTGGTCTTCTCTAGGCTCACCAGCCTGCCCTTTGAGCCGCTGGGTTCCTACTTCCTTTCCCATCTGTCATGGAAAGTCATGTTCCTGGTGGCGGTGACATTGGCAAGATGGATCTCTGAAATTAAAGCCTTGACCTCAGAACCTCCGTACACCGTCTTCTACAAAGATAAGGTAAAGTTGCATCCCCACCCAGCCTTCCTGCCAAAGGTGGTCTCCACCTTCCATATGAACTAGGACATCTTCCTCACCGTCTTCTGTCCCAAAACACACAAAACCAGTGAGGAGAGGTGTCTTCACGTCCTGGATATCTGGAGGGCCTTGGCTTTCTACTTAGAACATGCCAAGCCTTTCTGAAAATTGACTCAACTCTTCATCGCTACAGTGGATAGGATGAAGGGTCACCTGGTGTCCTTGCAGAGGATTTCCAATTGGATTACCTTGTGCCTAGGACCTGTTATGACCTGGTGGGGGTTCCGCTGCTGCCGATTGTCAGAGCCCACTCGACGAGAGCGCAGGCATCTTTGGCGGCCTTCCTGGCACACATCCTTATCCAGGACATCTGTAGAGCTGCAACGTGCTCCTCTGTTCGCACGTTTACTGCTCATTATGCCATCACTCAGCAGGCCAGAGATGATGCTGGTTCAGCAGACCTGTGTTGCAATCTACACATCCTGGAACTCCTACCCTGCTCCAGCGGTACTGCTTTGGAATCACCTGATATGGAATGGACATGAGCAAGCACTCAAAGAAGAAAAGACAGTTACCATTTCCATAACTATTATTCTTCGAGATGTGTTGCTCGTGTCCATTCCACAACCCGTCGTCCTTCCCCACTGTCTGAGTTTCCAGCAAGAAGGAACTGAGGGTGGGGGGAGCCGGTGGTGCCCCTTATACTGCGCCATGTGGGTGCCACTCCAGAGGGCATCAGAGCTGGTCCCCTGTGGAAACTGCTGAGGGAAAAACTCCTGGCACCGATGCATGTGGCGAGCACACACACCAAATATGGAATGGACATGAGAAACACATCTCGAAGAACACCAGTTACAGAAAAGGTAACTCTTTTTCTATAGCAAACTTTTCAGTTCTGTGCATGGCAAGGTAGTCTCCAACCCTACAAGTAACTCCATGTCAGTAGACTCCTACACCCATGTAGATATCAGCTGAAGCCTGTGAGCCCGTGGGGTCCACTTGCACCAAGTAACTTGTAGGATTGAAGAATGTATCCTCATAATATAAAACTCCTCCAAGTGGTCTCAGAATAGAATGTAATCTCATTAGACTGTTATGCAAGTACTTGTATTGAAGTGCTCCGCACATAGGCAGTTGTCAAGTTAGTTAGTATTATGCTATTTGTTATCTTCTAAAATAGAAAAGGCTAGAGATCTGACTATAAGTTACTCCCCAGCTTGCCTTTGTCATCAGTGTAATAATTGGTACTGCTGGGGGGAATGCTGCGCCACTGTGCACGCACAGCATTTATGTTCCCCGCAGATTTCTTTGCTTCCCTGCAGAAAAATGACTTTTTGATGGGGAAGCAAAGGAAACCCATGAGTGGTCATGCATCCCTCCCCAGCAGTAAGTTTTTTGGGTGCCTAGGACAGCCAGCAGAGAGGTAAATCATTGTGGAGAAGTGGGGGGACTGGGGAAGACCCAGCTGCTGGCTCCTACCCTGTGCCGGGTTCAGCTGCTAGTCCTGGCTGGGCTGGGGAGGACAGGACTTCTTCCCCTGCACAGCATCTGAGGCTGTGTCAGATCGACCCCAAGATTTCTCCCCAGGCTGTAGGAAGTTCTGCAAACTCCCTCCACCCCTGTTTCCTGCACCCATCACTCCTCAGCTGCAGGGGGAGGGATGATCACTATACAGGGAGCTGCTCCCCCATCCACCCAACCCCCGTGCATCCATACCCCCTCATACCCAGGCTGTCATGCCGAGGCTCACTCCCCTGACAAGCCCTGCTCCCCCAGCACCTGGACCACCCCAACAAACCACCTGCACTCGGATCCCCACCCTACTGAGCCCCAACCAGCTGCACCCTGGATCCCTGCCCCACTCCCC